AGTTAAAAGGTTCTAGTAACCAGGTAGATTTTGTGGCTGGACCACATGCCTGTCAAGTCAGGAAGCTGCCACCCCTCTCCTGTGTCCTCAGGGCTGAGTCTAGCACCCAGCCCAGTGTAGATCCCATTCTGAGTCAACATGAAGCCAACTCTTGGCTTCAGTCACATCCAGGGATCTGTTTTTTCACTCATGTTATTCTTGAGAAAATGTTACTTGTAGGCAAGGGAAGGCTTTCTCTGTGCTTGAGCTATAAATAGAAAAGTGTGGATCAGAAAGTGCTTTTCCCAGCAAGGCAGGTTTCTTTGAAGCAAACCTCCGATTCTATCAGGATGGGTGAAAACTGCCAACTTTGAGCTCATTTCTTTGGCAGCGGTGATGTGAGGACAGGAGTTGCAAGCCTCCAGGGTGCAGAAGGCAGACACAAGCTAATTAATCTGGCTTTGGAGATTCCCCCTTGATTACAGATAGCCTGTGTGCATTGCAAAACACAGAAAACTACAGAGAAAATATAAACTACCTGTTACTCCAGCCACCTAGAAATTAATACTATGAAGTTTTAAGTTTTATTTTTATTAGTGTATGTTTTCAGCATGGTTACATTCATCATGGGGCGTCAGTGTATAACACACCCTAATTCTTTGCACGTATCTTCCCCTTCTCTCAGTCCCTTGTCTATCTTCTTTTACTCCATGTGTGTTGTGTTTTAAAACAGGTTCATCTTATTTCAGTGTTGTTGTGGCTTGCTTTTTCTCTTAATATATCCTGAAAATTTTGCTAGTGGTAGCCTGCTTTGGGTGATGGTGTGCATTAAAATAAGCTTGAGAGTAGGAGTTCTATAAATAATGCATACTAGGAAAATATTTGTTTTCCTAGCATGAATTATATATCTGGTCCCTACCTCTGAGAACTTGGGGTGAGTGGGTAAGAGAGGAGGGCATTTGAGTTAGCAATCCCGGGAAATAGATCCAATTAAGTTGCATTCTGCCCTGGAGGATTCCAAGGAGTTCCCATCTTTTGCAGAATGAACGAGAAGCAGAAGAAGGAAAGAGGATAGAAAAGGCAGTTTGAATAATTCCAGCAATAAGCTTGAAACTCTCAGCTACTGATTGCTTTGTGTGGATCGAAACCCTTGATTACTGGGGGACCTCTTAGGGTTAGGCCTGGGGTATCTTCCAGAGGCTGCATGAGGGCACTTGCACTATGGGGACACTGAATCCCCTGGTGGGCTCATCCACTGGGAGCTTAGAGGCTGTGTGGAAGCAGGGCCTGCATGGAAGAGTGAGAGCGTGGCCCTGGACGAGGCACTGCCTTCCTGATTCCTGGCTTGTCCCTCTACCTCCTGCCTAGCACAACCTGAGCCACTCTCCTCCCCATGATTTCCACCATCCCCTTTTTTGCCTTGGAGCCAGCTCACTATGGACTGAGACCTTGTAAACCATAAGCCACAATAAACCTCACCTCCTTTAAAGGGTGGGTGCCAGGTGTTATATCTCGATGAGGAGAAAAATAATGACACAGTGATGGGTTTGACTCCATGCCCAGATGGTAACGCTTGGGGCTAATCAGCCCTGAGCAGCGTTCCAGCCTCCTCTGTCTACCAGCAATGTGGTCCTGGGCGGGCACTTGATCTCTCAGGCCTCAGTTTCCTCACTGTACAAAGAGGACCATATGGGCACTGTCTTTAAGCTTTGCTCTGAGGCTTCAGTGAAGTTATCGCTATCAAGTGCCAGTGGGCTGACACGAGGTAGATGCAGCAAGCCTCTTCATAGCTGTTGCTAATGCTCCTATCATTTTACCAAACTGGATGCCAGGATGCTTTAAACTGTCACTTCGAGATAAGATAAATAGGGTCAAGTGATTTAGAAATGTGAGAATTCTTGAAAGTAGAATTTCTCCATTAGTCATACAGACATAAACTTTACCAGAATGTGGTACACTGGTAAGATAATCCTGAGTGAAGTAGTTAATGCCGAGATCTCGTCTTGCTTGCAGTATACATTATGTCTAAAGGGCTTCATGATTGTCTTACGTTATGGAGTCCAAGTGGCAGTCTTCCACATTTTAACATCTCTAAATCAAGATTTCTCTTACAATCAATAATGTGTCACTTTTAACAGAAAGTTTATGTTCTTTCTTGTAGTACCTGCAATAATAATACTTAAAATTGTTGTTCTTAGATTTAATAAACTATGTTCATGTCTTTGTTCATTTTTAGGCAGCAGAAGCTTCGGCCCTTTTTTGTTGTTAGTTATTTATAGTAATTGGAAACATCAGTGTTCCCTAGAAGACTGTTCATCAATATTTAACTGCAAATTTGTTTCCCAGCCTCAGATAGTTTTCCATAATCTAATCCATTTGGGAAAGAAAGCTCAAAATCTGTATTTCTGCCAGTATTTTATTTCTTCCTATTTTTTATTTTAATATTATAAAACAAACCACTATCAGGTATTAATTTTTTATGTGTGCGCTTTAAATAAAACCAGACTTATTTTTTTGTATTTGCCGATGCATTTACTTTAAGGACTTTTATTTTGGTGACTAGAGAAGCAAATTTTGATTTAATTCATAGATTAAATTATATATTTATGAGAAATCAATAAATTCATAGCCTTTTGAGGACCTATGGAAATATTTTATTTTATTTTTTTTGCATTTTAATATTTTACTAAAATATATTTGTAACATATAATAATTACATTTCTGTTAGGCAATGCGTGCATGTCAATATGGCATCTTAATCAGGTGACTTCCAGTTACATTACTCCTGTGAGTGCCTGCTCTGATGTTTCGCCCTGTGCTGATGTACAGGTCCAAAGTCGCCTATATTCACAAGGGCAGAAGCCCTCGCCACAGAAGTCTTCCTGTTGGGGGTGCAACTGAGCAAGACAGGATAAAGATGAGCCCTATTTCAGAATAAAAAAAGGCAGGAAACAGATGAGCAGGCATGAGTGGTAGGTTTGTGCACTGAGAGATGTGAGGCTTGAAGTGGAAATATTTTATAAAGTAGTTAAGAAAGCTTGTTCTGAAACCAACTTTACCATTTATCTGAAAATCTCTCAGAATTTGTGAAGCATTTCATATACACTTTATGAATTTAACTTTAGCCCTTTACCAGAAACTTCTACTAAAAAAATGTTCAGCATTGACTTACTTCTTTTGGTTGTTCAGGCATTATGTAGTATTTAATTTAAAGTCAAAGTCAGTTGGCATCCAAGGAAAGACTGTAAAATTACACTGATTCTGTGTTTTGGTTACAGAAGCAATGCATAGTCATTATGAAGCATTTTAAAATGTGTAAACTAGACACAGAGAAGGAAAAATAAACCTTAAAACCATCACTATTGACATGCTGTATGTCCTTACTATCTTTTGACATTATGTACATTGTAATTTATGTATTAGCAGGTACAAGTCTATGTGTACAATCATATAAAATATAATTTTTTTGAAGGCTGTTTCCATTTTTGCAGTGCTGAGGATTGAATTCAGGTCCTCCTGCATGCTAGTCAACAGCTCTATCACTGAGCTACACCCTTAATCCTTTTTAAAATTTTTATTTTGAAATAGTCTTGCTAAGTTGTCCAGGCTGGTCTTGAATTTGCACTCATCCTTGGTCCCCAAGTAGCTAAGCTAACATGCATGCCTTGGATGCAAAGAACTTGCAAAGGAATATTATAGTCAAGGGGGGGGATCTTTTTCAGCACCCAGCTGTAATCATGTATGTGTAGACATTGTGCTACATACACAGCTTAAAAACGCTTATTCATTGAGCTACACCCTCAACTGGCTCAACATTCTGTCTTTCTACGGTGCATGTGATAGTTCCCTTTATGGACATAATTGATTCATTCAGCTCTTTCCTGCTGTTGGACATTTAGGCTGCTCTAAGAATTTTACTGTTACAAATTCATCACACATACAAGGTGCTACAGTTGAGGAACTGAGAGAAATACAGGTATAAAAGTGAAAAGTTGGGGCACTACTGAGAGAGATGACCATGACAGTGATGTGCCAGGAGGATTAGACAGTGAGCTCTGAATCAGAGACCCCCTCTGTAGAAGAACAAAGGAACAGAAGCAAACCTTGGGTCCCAGCCATAGGAATGGAAGGGGAGAGATCAGTATGAGAAATATTGTGTTACAGACTTGGTGGGAGTTGACACATGAAGGATACGAATGAGGTGGGAATCAGAGATAACTTAAAGTTTAATTTTTGTGATGGGAAAAACTGGTGCTGTAAACTGAAATCTTTAGATGTGGAGAAGGGACTAGCAGTCGACTCTTAGCCACTTACTGTGGCCTTGATGGTCAGTTACACTGCCCTGGAGCTTTAATAAACTCTCAGCGATGGAGTGAAAGTGTGAGTCATAAATGGATCGCGGACATCAGGATGGGTCTAGGGAATCACTGATACATTTGAGGGTGATTTGGCACAAGTGGAGCAAAACAGGGGCCAAGTAAAACTTTTAAGGATAACCTATATTTGGTTAGGAAGGGAAAGAAGAATAGGGAGGAAAAGAGAACATTCCAGTAATAGATGTCATTGGGAGCCCAAGAGAGAAGAGAACTGCAAGAATCAAACCCACAGTGTTAAGAGCCACAGGCAGCCATACCCAAGGCAGGCCGCTAAGAGGTCGACTGCATCCTTAGGATACAAACAAAACACCAACTTCCTTAGTGGTATCACCCTAAAGCAAGTTGAAAGGCCTTGAGAAGCAGGAGAGGTAACTGATTTACATACTTTGGTTTTGGAAAAGAAAGGAAGCAGAGAGGAGGACTTGGAGGGAGGGGAACAGGAGTGTCCTCTTTTCATCCTTCCCAGGACATCTCCCATCTCCGCAGACTCATAGACACCCCAGTAAAACTGCTCAGGAAACCTGAAGAGTGAATTCCCGTGGCAGCCTGCCTTGTTGGCCTGGAAGTTACTACTAAGAACAAATCCTTTGTCTTTTTAGAACTTGCAAAGGAATATTATAGTCAAGGGGGGGAAATCTTTTTCAGGCAACCACTGAAGAAACTGAACTGAACCCCGAAGAGGATGAAAATGATGGTGAAAAAGAAAGAAAAGGGAATGCAGAGCTTGCCTCATCAGGTTGGTTTCATAATGACTTGAGGATAAAGCATAGTAATAACTCGAGATATAATGAAAATAACAGTTGAGAATTTTTTCCTCCTAAATTGCTGTACAAGGAATGTAGTGGTGCTGCCACCTAGAGGCTACAGGGAGGAATTCTGACCATGGGTTCAGTGTTTCTATAAAAATAGAAGCCTAGCTTTTTTTGATGCAGTTATGTTTTGCCTCTTGCAAACAAATATCCATCATCATAAAAGTTGCATTTCTCATACAAATAATTCTACAACTGAATGTTGTATTTTGAAGCACTTGAACTACAGTAGATAAGAAATAGATCAATAATATATCATAACAATCAATGCTGAAATAGTAAGGCTGAGAGAATAAAGTATAGAGAATAAAATAAAGAATAAAGTAATAAACCTGAATGGCAAATATGAATATGCTGTACCCATTGTTTAGAGTAGGATTGTTTATTCCCTAAATTTTTGTTTCTTAATTTTTTTGTGAAATTTTATCAGCATTTTTGAAACGTATGTCTTCTTTTGCTGACCATAAAACCTGTCCCCTCTTTTAATAGCCAATTATTCTTAACTGGCCCTTTAAAATAACAGCATTTTTTAAAAACTAGACTGTGCCTCCATGTTTTGACATGCCCTCTTTCTGGCGGCTTTCCCCCTCTCTCCACAGCATACTGACTGCTTTCCAGCAAGCAGTTTGTTTTCACTGTATTCTGTCCACCTGCCCCATGTCCTTAACACCTTCCAGTTAGAAATGTGGTGTCAAAGGGAAGCATCGAGATATGGAAGGGAAAGCCAGGCTGGCGCACAGGCCTGGGGACAGAAATTATCTCTGGACGTTCTCTTTTGTCACCTTGTGTTATTCTGATGTAAACTGTGACTCTACTAAGAACTTCTGGGGGCCAGGAAGATAGCTCAGTAGAATTAGCACTCGCCTAGCAAGTGCAAGGGCCTGAGGTCAATCCCCGGTTCCACCAAAAAAAAAAAAAAAAAAAAAAAAAAAAAAAGAAAGAAAAGAAAAAAAGAAAGAACTTCAGCTTGTCTTGGGCTATTTAATGTCTCTTCGAATGCTGCTTGTTTTATCTTCTTGTGTAGGAGCCTGGAGAACTACAGCATCTTGCACTGCTTTCTGTCGTCGCTATAATCCAGCCTCCTACTGCTGAGGGTGGGCATGGACCATGAGGTGTGATCCAAAAGTTCAGTGAATGTTTAAATTGTACAAAGTTTAAATTTATTACAATGAGATACAGTTGCCATTTAGCCCTCTCAAAAACTTATCTCTTCTTTCAAACACATGCATCCCAGTATTCTTTCTACTTTCTGAAGCAGTTCTGGATGCTGTCTTTTGTAAGTGTCTGTCTGAGTTGTGAAAAATACCACAGTGAGCGCTGCTGCCGATGCCATCCAATAGAAGGGCAGCTTGTAAACACACCGGTGTGGCCTTGTCCACCAGATCTGATGCTGCAGCCTCTGTGCTATTTCTCTTCCCCAAAGTCAAAATGACCACAAAAGGTAAATACCTCGAATCAAGTCAGGACATCCAGACAGCCACAGTGGCCCAACTAAAGGTGTAGAAGGACTTTCACAACAGCTTCAGAAAGTGGCATGAATGATGGAACAAGTGAGCAGGAGGAGGATTTTGAAAATTAAAGGCATTGTGTGCTTTACTGTAATAAAGTTTGAAAATGTAAAACACTTGCCGTGTGCGTTGATCACACCTCATAAAGGCGCGGGGTGGCTGTGCAGGACGGTGGCCTTTTGTATGACTTCCTTTTTCTCTTTTCTGCTTCTGGATGCGACCCTCTTTCAGAGTCACAGCATTTCACGACAACCGTGACACGATGCAGCCCAACGGTGGCCTTGGTGGGGCTCTCCTCCAGCCCACAGCTGAAGGACGGCATGCCAGAAGAAGCAGATGGGAAGAAGCTAGAAAATGAGATGGGTGGAAGGGTGCAGTTGGTGCTGTCCCAAAAGGTAAGCTGCACCGTGGGGCAAAGCAGTCGCCCCAAAAGCTTGTGTGGCTTTGTGCTGGCACTGGCTGCTGCCAGCGCAGGTGTTAATAGTGGAGCTCTCTACTGATCTGTTCCATCTTTAACCTATGTGTTTTCCTACAACAAATACACTACATGTTCGCTGTAAAACAACTTAAACACATAGAGAGGATTGTAGAGGTATATAAATATATAGTGAATATATTAAGTGTGTAATATATGCATTTTTTTAAATATACAAACACAGAAAAGGTGAGAAAATAAGACATGGAAACTTGCCTTTGTATTAGTAATGTACGGCCTGTAGTCCTTCAACATCTTTCAAAACTTAGATTGAAAAAAATTGAAATTTAAAAGTTCAACACATTTGAAAGGAAAATAGAAGTTGGAAAGCTTTGCACTTAGGTTTTGGTTTGCAGTGTAGCCACTTGCTTATTTACCTTTTAACCTGACAGTTTTAGTAAATATTCTCTTTCCAACACTTAAGGATGCTGCTGAAGCCCTAGATTTGCATAGTAAGGAACTTAGCCAATTACTATTCTGATATAATGGCTTTTGGACCTTTGTTCTAAACTTTGTAGTAAATTTTGTATGTGCTTGGAGTCTCATCTCATTTATATGAGTTTGATGTTTCCAGCGACTGAGTCCAAAAGTCGTCATCATTTATCCCAGGTGGTCTCAACTTTGGCTCCCCTCTGAATTTAAAAACTGCCAAGCCCACTCTGAGCTACATAGACGAGATTCTCTGGAGATGGGGGCCAGGCATCTGTATTTTTTAAAGCCTCTCGGACTTGCTGGGCTAGGAAGTAGACCCTTTGCCTTGAATAATTGGTAAGCTGTATGTTGTGGTGTTTCACCTTTAAAAATCAACTCTAAACTTAGACTTGACTTTAAAGTAAAATGTTTATTGTTTAGCTCAAGCTTATTCTTTATTCAGTCAGGAACTCATTGTGTACCTACTAGGTGCTAGGTACCGTACTTAGATACTAGATATTCAATACAGAATATGACACAGCCCCTGGCCTTATAGAACTGAGACTGGTAGACCCTTGAGAATGTCTTTTGCTTAGATGATTGGGGGAATTTCAGACCCAAGCTGTTCCCTGTTGTTAACCATTGAGAATCAAAGAATAGTCTGGAGATTGATAAAGGGGAATTAAACTGTAAGTCAGATAGTAAGTTAGTGGTGGGTAGAATTTTCTACCTTTATCTACAAGATATTTGTAGCCAGTATTTATTTATTTATTTATTTATTTATTTATTATTCTTAAAAACTCATTTTTTCCACTTAAATCAACACTAAAAGGAAAACTACATCATATTCTTAGAATATTGTTTTAATTGATCAAAACAGATACTGTAAAAAGTATTCATTGACCTTCCCCACATTATTGTGAGCTATCTTCAAACCACTAGGGTCACATCTGCCCCCCATATAGAAAATATTTTCAAGAGTCCTCATGTTTATTGTTGGTTTAGTTCTGTTCTGTTCTGTTCTGTTCTGTTCTGTTCTGTTCTGTTCTGTTCTGTTCTGTTTGGGGGCTCGTTAGCCATCTGGTAAACATTATGGTCAAAATAATATTTTGAAAGCATAAATAAAATACATAGGATTCCCAGGTTGTCCCTGGAATCAAGTGGTTCTGAGTACTGTACATATAGCCACTAAACTGTATTCTGTGGACCCCAGTTAAGAACTTCTGCTAGTTTATGAGCAAATAGACTTGAACCAAGTTCCCTTCTCATTCTATGAATCTTTCCCCTTTCTCCCTCTCCTATAGCTAGCACTTAGAGAAGGGGACCACAGTGGTTGCAAATAGCTCTTTTTCTCTGATTTCCCTTGAGAATGTTACTTTTTTAAAAGAAAGCTCCAAAAAAAAATTTTTTTAAAAGTGGGGGCCGGGGAGATGGCTCAGTGGAATAAGCGCTTCCCTGGTAAATGCAAGTGCCTGAGTTCAATCCCCAGTTCCGCAAAAAAAGAAAGAAAGAAAGAAAGAAAGAAAGAAAGAAAGAAAGAAAGAAAGCTCCCACCAATGCAGGCTGACCTCTACATAGTGGTCATTTGGAGCATTTCTGCTGTCCACTCACTGTTTCATATACATCCAAGAATGATATGAACCATACTTTTTAAGCCTCACCCCCACCTAAAAACGTATATGAGGTTAAGATTTGATGGTTGTCAACTTTGGTAAGAGTAAATCTTAGCTTTAGCTGTGTTTAATATTGAACTTCATTTGGATAGCTGGTTGACCTCAGTATTGCTGGATGAGGAGATTATATTTTTTTCAGGTTCTTTTAAGGTTAAATATATTATTACGGAAGAAAAATCTATGCAGAAGAAATCCTGGCATTAATTTGTCCTGAGAACCAAATCACAGAGCAGCTTATTATGTAACAAGCGCTCTGTAGTTGCACTCTGAGATCATTAGCTCTCGCATCAATCTGTCAGGAACACGGTCACCAGCCAGAAGATGAAATCACAGTTGGTCCTGAGAGAAGCTAAGAAGATGGGAACTGATAGCAGCACTGTGTTCTTTATTTACACCTGTGTTCAGTGTCTTCTGTTGTTCTAGGTGTGGTTTAAATAAGTCTTGTATTCAGGTCGTTAGCAGTAGGTTGATTAGATGCAACATGGCCAGGGAAGGGCAATTCTAGAAAAGGCCATTAGATAAGGAGAAACAAATGTAAATGACAATAATAAAAAAAAAATCTGTTTTACAAAGTGAACATAAGAATTGCTAAAGCCTGTAGTTTTAGAGCTACTTTGCATGAGGACAAGCAATGTAATATGCCTCAAAAATTGTTTCAGGGCATTGTTTGATTGTGGTTATTTATAAAGATGCTTTGTCAATAGGCAAAGTGTATTACCTTCAATTGCTTTGCATATATGTGGAGAGCTGAGTAGTATGTTGAGAATAATGTCCATTAAAGGGAATGCTACTTTAGTGTTTAACACCCTACAGAGTAATAGCTTTTAAAATCATCATGTGAGGGTCAGCGAGATAGCTCAGTAGAATAAGTGCTTGCTGGCAAGCGCGAGGTCCTGAGTTCAATCCCCCTTACCATCAAAATAAATAAATAAATAAAATCATCAGGGGCCAGGGAGATGGCTCAGTAGAATAAGTGTTTCTCTGGCAAGAGCAAGGGCCTGAGCTCAATCCCTGGTTCCACCAAAAAATAAATAAATAAAATAAAATCATCATGTATGAAACATCTCATTTCCTGACATAAATTCAGTACTGCATAGTACCAGAAAAGAGTGTGCTGCTTGTCAGTAAAAAAATGAGGGGGTCATATTTTATTCCAAAGATGGGTGGTTGTCTTCTGTGTTTGGAGAAAAATGCTGAATACATTTTTATGCTCTCTTGAATTCTCTGAAGCACGGAGCTCTCTGTTGGTATAGGAAAGCACAAATAGGTTTTTAAGGAATGGGAAAAATTAAGCCATTTAAAAGTTAAATGCTTGAGCTTATTTCTGTATGGGGTCCTCCCATTTGCTTTCATCTGCGCACTTATTGGTAGACAGTGCTTGTGATGGCTGTCTGTTGCCCACGCACAGGTGGTAAAGCCAAAGCCCCCGGAACCAGAAGCAACGCTGATGTTTCCATTTCTGGACAAAATGCCTGAAACGAGCCAACTACATTTGCCAAATCTCAGTTCTCAAGGTAAAGAGGAGGAAATATTTTATGTCATGTCCTGTTCTTTATTTTAAAGCATGGTTGCATCCTGTGTGTTGATGTTCCTTGAGCCTGTGATGTGCCAGCGGCCACGGTGGTGGGACTAATAACTTCAGCGTGGAGAGCTCAGGCTGCATTCCCTGCCTGACCAGACCAGGAGCCCCAGCTACATGCCACTTAGCCACCGGGAACTTTAGAAACGAGAGGCCCTATATAGTCTGTACGACCTTAAGCTTTTTAGTATTGTCTCTCAGCCAAAAAACACAAATAAAAATGAAAAAATCCATCAAATTTTAAATGTTTTCAATCTTACTATCGTGCCAACTTTATTGTTGATTGCCTGTAATCCAGCAGTATTAATTAATTTGACAGTATTAATCTATTAATTTGGCAGTCATTGGGTGAAAGCAGATTTTTACCTAGTAATTCTGGGGAGTGCATGATCAGCGCTGAGGAATAAGTCACAGAATACATTAAACATGATATTAATAGGCAAAAAAATTAACATTTCCAAAAATTCTTTACATTAAAAAATATGCCAGGTACAGTGGCACACCTGTAGTCCCATGGAGGCTAACCTGGGCTGCATAGAGAGTTCAAGGCCGTCTACAAAGCGAGACCCTGTCTCAAAACAAACAAACAAAAAAGTATATGAAAAATTTAAAAAATATAGCCTTGGTATGTATACTATGTAATTACAAACACTAATACTGAGCACATATTTTAATGTGCTGTGTATATTTGATGCATGTTATTATGATATATAAAGGGGTAATATCTAACAAAAGTTTAGAGTCCATAAAATAGCAATGACCCCCAAGTACCTTGTAGGCCACATATCAGTTATAATTCAGTCCTTTATATTCTAAAAGCACAACTTTAATCATTTTGTCCTAGTGTGAAACCCTGGTACCCGCATGGCCAGCTAGGTCCCTTAGGAATACAGTATGGCTAGTAGAGGGAAGATGGGCCTTGAGAATTCCACCATCCACGAGAATTGTTTTTCCACCCATATATTTCTGAGCTTTCTATATGCAAGTTCTCTACATGGGGAAACAACTAGAGTTTGAGAGACAAACCTGAATGGTTTTCATTTTGTTACTTTAAATGTACGTCCCCCAGTACAGCTTGTAGATTTATCAGTTCAGGCAGAGACAGAGTGGTACAGACGCATGGCGACTGGGATTTACTACTTCCCTTTGCAAGGTGGGCAGCTATTTGGGTCACCATTAGCATAATTCCCTGTACGCAAAACAGAGAGCACTTTGGAGGAAATTCACTGGTGCATGTACTCATGGTCATTTTTTTCTTGATGTAGAAATAAATTCAGTACTGTCTTCCAAGATCCTGTAGATCCTGTAGTTCTGAAGGGAACTGACTAAAGTCTCATAGCTGGGCCATGAGTGGGACCTATGTAGACAGAGTTTAATTCTATCTGTGTCTAGTACTTTGTAATCTTGTACAGAAGGAAAATAGAGTGGGAATAGATGTTTTACACCATATTGGTTTTGCTGGTGTATCTAGACATCCCATTACCTGTTGTAAAGAAGCATTTTGGCTTGTAGAAATGTGCTGGTGCATTAAAGGGATTTATTGGATGCTTTACTCAAGTTAGATGATTAAAAACATAAAATGTAGTAGCCCTAAAGTAGTGACGGCAAATCTTTTAGAGCTTTCAGTCATAGAAAACAGCCTGCTGTACATGTGCTCCATAGGTTCGCCACCAGCACCCTAGAACATTTTAAAATTCTAAATCATCTGGTTCTTAGCTTTGTAATCTTATTGTCACCTGTAAACAGGAAATGATAATCAGACCAATCTTTAAGAGTACTGGAAGCACTATATGAAGAAACCTTTAGTGTTTAGCTTAGTATGTACCTGGCCCAGAACATGTGCTGACTGTGTAATCTCGTAACTACACAGTCACGAATGCTAGCAATAGGAGAAATACAGAGCAAGGTACGATGTAGAAATAAACTCTTCTTAAATACTTTTATTAAAAAAGAATATTTAGGACCAGAGGTATAGCTCAGCAGCAGAAATGCCTGTCTGGCAAGCGCAAGGACCTGAGTTCAATCTCCAGTTCTGCCAAAAAAAAAAAAGAAAGAAAAGAAACTTTAAAAAAAAAGAGGGGCTGGTGAGATAGCTCAGTGGTCTAAAGCACCTACTTGGAACAAGCTTGGCAAAGCACTGGGACCGCGGTTCAATCCCCAGCACCACATGCAGCCAGCCCCGCCCCCTGGTGGGCTGAGCTGGCCACACACACACACACACACACACATAAATAAATAAAATTTTTTAAAAAAGAATATTTACCTTATAGGGACATGGCTGGAAGCAGTAGTTTTCAAAAACACATCTGTTCTGGGCCCTGCAGTGCTTGTCTGGCTCTCTGTGTGGCCAGGAACAGAATTTCTTGCAGTTCTAACAACTTCCTAGGTTGTTCCGATTCAGCAGATCCAGAGCCCACAGTGAAAACCACTGATTTGAACTATTTATTTAAATTGTGCTTTAAAGACATCAGTGATAGATATGAAAATAACAGTGCCTACCTTCTGGAAGCAAGCAGCCTCTAATAGATGCAATCTTAGAAGAGGTGATTTGTCTTTAGTTGGTGGGGGGAGAAGTAGCGGGTCTCTGCCTGGCTATAAAAAGTTAGTCACTTTGTATTTAAGTGACTAATCCAAAGTCCAGCATCAAGTCCTGAGGAGCAGAGAGAACCAGAAACACTGAAGCCGCACCCAGTAAATGCTTTCTGCTCCAGAAATTGATCTCTGCCTGTTTACATAAGGCCATTTACAGACTGGTCATCTGGGCCATGAACATCTGAACATATATGTGCATCAGTAGTCTTGAGACCCTCCGAGAACGTTCTTAAGATGCCTTTACTGATGACAGTGTCCTTGCCTCAACTCCCTCACAACAGTAGAAAGATGCCTCCCAATTGTGTCTCAATTAAATATGTGCACACTGTAAAACCCGAAGTCTTTATTTGCTCTGAGAATAAAGGTTGGTGTACATAGAGATTAGGCATGCCAGTGCTCAGCAGTGTCGCTGTGCATCCGATGTACCACATATCGACACAGGATGTCCTTTTTATATATATAAAAGGAAAGCAATCACAGACTTCCACACATGACTATCATAAAGTATAACGTGTGAAATAGGCAAGCCACCCATCTCCGATACCTTTCACACTTTCCTAGCATTCACCAAAAGTAATGTAAAGTGTGCACTGTGCTCCTAATAGCACATTGAGATTGATTCAACATTTAAACACTGTCACCATTCAGTATGAGTCTGTAGAAGTTCACCATAGAGATGCACAGGTGTATAAGCTATCCTTGTTCTACTGACCTGTGTTTGTGTCTTTGGGTTTTGTGTGGTTGTACTAGGGAAACTCTTGGTACATTAGGTTTGCTGGCTCTCAATTCTTGTGTCAATTGCACCCAGGCCTTCTTTGATATGTGGGGGGCATGGATCTGTTCAATTTTCACCCCAGTTTCATGGTTTTCTGTTTGTTCTGTTCTGCCATCTGATCTAGAGTCGCCTGGCACAGCCAGTGTTCCGCTGAGAGTTCAGAACTCTTGGCGACGTTCCCAGTTTTTCTCCCAGTCAGGTAAACTACACACTGGGTAGCTGCATTTCTTTTGTGCAAAAATCCATGTTGGGGCAACCAATGATGACTGGCATTTGTCTTTGTTTCTGATTTCAGGGGGAAAAATGCTTGTACCTGACACACAGTTAGCAAAGAGCTACCATAGTTTTTGATATTGGTACCAGTTACACTAAAATTGAATTTTATGTTGATTTTTGAGGATCCAAAGGAACAGTATTATTCACCTCTTTCTTTATTGTCCCTCCCTCTTTTTTAAAACAAAGATTAGAAACTTTTTCCAGAAACTGGTAATGGTTCTCTTGTTAACTGTGTGGCTCTCTCTCCCCCTCCTCTGGATGACATCTGGCCTCTCTGTGTGATACTTCTTCGTGTCAGACAGCGAGTGAACTGCTCAGTCAAGCAGAACGCAGGGGGCATTGAGAACCAGCAGCCGTAGGAATAGTTGTTGCTTCCTGTAGTTTAGAACCTGGTGCTAACAGATGTTGATCATTTTACACTGGCCATAACTTCTTTTGGTGATGGGTACAACTTGCTTCAGGGGTCTGCTTATTGTAATTTTCTAATGCTCTTGATTTACAAAAAGCAAAGCAAAGAAAAAGAATTGATTTGAAGCTGATATACAGACTACATTGCCCTGAGAGAAATCAAAAAGAATGGCAACTAGGAGCTGCTAACGTTGTCATTTTTCCTTTCTTTTATTTTGTGTAGCGGAGTCTCCAAATAATGAAAAGTCTCCTCTAACTACACCTGTAAGTAACTCATTTTAAGGAATAAGACATTCGTTCAGTGTGGTTTTAGAGTATAATGTATTTGATTTTTGTAAAGCATATTCAAGCAAAAGTGAGATCCAAACACTTGATTTGAAAAGAATAATTTAAAGCTGTGCATAATGCCATTGGGCGAATTATAAGGGCCTCGATTGTCATTATGTGGAGTTATGATCCCTGGAAACAAAATGATATCAGGAAATAAAATAGAAAGGAAGCACTTAAAATGAATGTAATACAATTAGTAGGCATTTGAAATCACTTTAAAATAAGAAAAACACTTCAGTGTAGTGTGTTGCTGGTAGACAGGACCCAGCCTAGACTTTTTCTGGGAGACCCACAGTGTCTTTGTCATGTCTCTTGTGATAATCTGTATCTTGAATTACATTGTTTGTGCATATTGCTTTCTGTTTTTTTATTTAAATAAAATAAGAAAACATTTGGTGATGAAAATATCAAGGCACATGATACAGTGGAAATCCCGCGCTGCTGAATTATACCGGAATTCTCAGGACTGGTGTTTCCAATGCTGAACCTGTTGGGCCTTGTTCGTTCTCTGAAATTCCCACCAGGCCTGGAGACTTCCTTCCTCCTGCACACAACCAACTGCAGCACTACCCTGGAGCCACCTGGGGGCAGCTGTGCAATCACAGTCACAGCCAGCTTAAATTCCAGAATTGCTAGCCCTGTGCTCTGAAGATACCGTGTAACTTCTCTGTCCTCCATCATTTTGGACTGTGCCACAAAATAATAATAGATTTTTTCAGGGTTTTCATAAGCCTTAGTTGAAATAATTATACAGAATATACAGAATCCTTTAGCATAGCTCCTGATGAAGGAACAAATCATTCCTCTCCAGGGGCTAATCCAAGAGGCCCACCATAGCCAAGAGCAATTCCTCATGTCTCACTTTGGGAATTCCTAAGTGCCTGGGCAGAGTGGTGAGGGTTCCATCATTTGTCACATACTCCTCAATCTTTCCAGCTTAGTCCATGACTAAGGACCATTTGTGGAGGTTTAGCCATAAGGTGACACAAGGCATCCTGAGTTTCTTAGAAAGTAGTATCCACCTACAGGGGTGGGGACCCCAGAGGTACCTCAAAGTTGGCTTTCATGGTACAGACTTCCATGGATTGCATTTTAAGTTATATTGGAACAAGAATGTCAAATTGTTCATGTGCCCCTAGGAGGGGTAGAGAGGAAGAGCGCCCTACAGGGATGCATTATCATTTCTGTTTATGGAAAATAGGACAAGAAAGAGATGTTGCTGACCTATATAAGTAAGTTCTCTGGAAATACTACTACCCTGAAAGTTTGATGTTCATTCAATAGGAAATAGATCCTTATAGAAGAGAAAAATAAAAGAAACTTGAAAGGGGGCCAGGGAGATAGCTCAGTAGAATAAGTGCTTGCCTGGTAAGCTCAAGGGCCTGAGTTTAATCCCAGGTTCCACCAAAAAAAAAAAAGAAAAGAAAGAAACTTGAAAGTAAGTAAAGTTTGAAGAGAAAGTAAGCATGAGATTATGGTAACCTCAGCTGTTTTCAGTCGGCTTTGGAGTGCCCCCAGGACTGGGAAGGCAGGATCAGCATCACCATGTGTGACGCAATCCTGCTGCTTACTCAGCAAATACTTACTGAGAGGAAAGCACAAGGTCTTGGGACACTTAGAGGGCCAAGAGACGCCCCTTCCCTTGAGGAATCCAGGGCCAGGGGAAGAGGCAGACCAACAGCAGACAGAGTGAGGAGCAATGTGGGCTCTGTGCTCTCCAGGCCAGTTTCTTCTAGCATCCATATCTGTCCTGGAGGCTAACCGTCACATGGTCATCTGTTGACCCTTTATGTGCTTGTGCCCCCATCTTCCTGGGCCACCTACACACCCGCAGCCCATCCTCACCCCATAGTAAATAATCACCAGATCAGAAATACTCACCAAAGGGAGGAACTTTCAGGTCACTATTTTCCCCTCTTGTTTATTATGCTGGTATTATCTTCTTTGAAAACACCTAATCATCCTCTCTCTTTCTGCCTCTGTCTATCTCTGTCTCTCTCTGTCTCTGTCTATCTCTCTCTCTCTCTCTCTCTCTCTCTGTCACTCCCTCGCTCGCTCTGTCCTACAAATAATCTGCTGCTTTCTCTTTCCTACCTCTTCCTTGTTGGCTTACTCTTGAGATTACCACTTAGTGTTGACCCAAGAATTCAATAATATAATAAGTAATTATTTCTCTTACTTTCCATCTATTGGACTTGCCTCCCTATGACTTTATTCATATGAACACTCCCCTTTTCCACAAAGGACTATGTCCCTGTGAGAGGTTGTCAATATTTAAATGACCTTCAAATCTTAGGAGAATGCAGGTGTGAGGGTAGAGTCAACGTCCAATATCATTAAAGCCCAGTAGAATTTCCCATCTGGGATCTACATTTGGATGGTCATCCAAGTTATTATAGTTGTCCAAGTAAATCTGGCTTATATACAATAAGTACTCTACCCTCCAGCATAATTTTCCATAGTGTATAGTACAGAAACATGCAGTGTGAATCTCAAGAGTCAAGATAAGATGTGTATTCTCTGTCTTGTCTTCCTGCTTTTCTGTAGCACTTTGTGAACATCATGGCCAGCTCAACCATTTGCAAAGGCCACAGCAAGAGTACAAAAGGAAGCCCACATACCATATGGCTACATGTGGATGCATAAGAGTGATAAATGTTCATAGAGTGATAAATCCAATGTTGCCTCTGGCCTGGTCTGCATTCTCTGCCCAGGGACACACCGCTGGGCCAGCCTGGGCATGGTGCCCCTGAGTGGCAGTGGAGATCTTTGGGGGCCAGGCTGGTCTGTGCACCCTTCTCCCACTAATGCATGCCTCAGTGTCTGTGGGGATGGGATCCAGGATACCTACTGACGCCCCACTTCTTGGATGCCCAAGTCCCTTATACAAAATGGCATAGTATTTGCATAAAACTCCTCACACATCTTCTCATACACTTCAAATCATCTCTAGATTAATTATAATACCTAATGCAGTGTAAATGCTATGCAAGTGGTTTTCATCTATATTAATTAGGGAATAATAAGAAAGGGTCTATAAATGTTCAATGTAGGTGTGTCCTTTCTCCCTCTCTCCCTCCCTCCCTCCCTCCCTCCTTTTTTTTCTTCTTTCCTTCCTTCCTTCCTTCCTTCCTTCCAAAGATTTTTTTAGAAGCCTTTGGGCTTGAGTTTTTGCCTGGATCTTGGATAGTACAGGTGGGCACCACTGAGTTAACCCAATTTAAGGAAAACTGGTGTGGAAAGCAACAGAATACAAAGGATTAGCTGCATGATGTAGTATACACCACTTCTTACAAAATGTGTTTCAGCTAAAATAACTGCTCCCATTGGCTTGGACCTAGGATCAGTACACAGAGGGAGCATATGATGCTCAGGTGCCTGAATACAATGAAGTTGCTACTTCCAAAGCAAATGAAGGGGCTGGAGAGATGGCTCAGTGGTCT